ATGATGACACTGTCACAGACAAATTTTGATAAAGAAAGCTCATTTGAGCCTTCGGTTCAGGTGAGCTAAAAGGTATGGTAATATAAATTATATGTCATTACCAAGGTTGTGCTCATTGAAACAGAGTCATATTCAATCAGTTGATTGATTTCTTCATCCATGACTTATTTTCATGTCAATCCTCTTTTCTTCTTCTTTGTCATACGTAAATTTTGTCTACCTACAATGACAAGTAGCATGTGCGTTTTATTAGAACATTTCTTCTTTAAATCATAATTAAGCTCTATCCCTCATTAATTCCCAAATGAACATGTATAAAAAGCATGTAAGATATTTATTAATTAATGTGAAATCGGCCATTGGACTTTGTGGACACCTGATAGAGCCACTGTGCACATAAAACATAACAGACCTAACGCAGGTAAAGGTTATTTCATTCAAAGACTTTCAGGTCGAGAGTTATTACCTATAATTTTACTTCGTAAAGCACATTTTTCAACAGTTTGTCATGCCTTTTTACCTGATCACGGGATTTTATCAGCTTCAGCTACTGTTTATTTACCTGTCAAGCAATCCGGAAGTCCAATTCCATGTGTCGAAAGTTTGTAAGAAGGCGTTTGATTGGTTAAAATCAATTGGGATCATCTCAAACTTTACTTCACACGCCCAAACGTATTCATTTCATGTACTTTATTTTATTCAAAAACGAATTGCAAGAAAGATCTTTGGTAAATATTAGTTGAGATAGTACTAAAATGTAATTACAGTAAATGACAAATAACATGTAAATGATATAAAATTAAATTCTATTTTGATGGTCGCGTAAAAATATTATATATAAAGCCTAGGAGCTTTTAGTGGAAGGGTTGATTTCAATCAGACTGCATCACTGAGAAAGAAAATCAAATTAAGGATATCCGATCATCAGCCAGGAAGGATATCTCTAACAAAAATATTTTATTTTAAAAACCACTTTTCATGCAACTATTTTCATTTTATGCATCTAAATTCATGGTTCATGGTTTTTGGGAGAAATTGTCTAAATGGTATAAAATCAGAAATTATTTATTACGAAAAATAATTCTAATTGCTTCCAATACAATGCGCGAAATTAAATTCCCTTTTAGTAATTAACCTTGATGATATATTAATTTAATTGTTGTGTCTGCCTAGTCAGTAATGTAAGCTTTGTCTATGTTGCGTGCATGAAATTAACTGATGCATATAATATACGAGAGTTGTTCGAAAAGTTCGTGGACGATGTTAATCATCTTTATTACTCACTAGAAATTTAAAATAAGCACACTGTAATATGTAAAAATATTTGTTTTGTTGATGTGTAAAGTTTCATTTCATTCGATTTAACAGAAATCATTTTACTAGTAGTACTTCATTTTAAAGTCAACATGTTTTGTACCTGCAGAGCACACTTAACGGCAATGTAACGTCAAAACATAGCGTCGAGAATTTCTACAAAATACTATCCCTATACATTTCACACAGTATAATCCAATGCCCACTCATTAAATCCTTTTTCTAATACTTGAAATTTATTTTCTAAGAATTGTTCTCGTTGTATAATTCCTTTCTTAAGGTTTTTAAAACTTCTTTTATAACTTAACTCTACTTTCACATGATAAGTAGCTGCAGATCTGTAGCGTTATGGTTTTATATATTTGTCTTTGACCATACCAATATGTATATTTTGTCCACCTCCCAACCATTTATAGTTTTCTCTACAGGCAATAAACATAAACTCGCTTGAAGTGAATTTTCAGCAATCTAACAAATAATTTTAATCAAGCGAAGTTTATCACTTGTAGAGACGACTATAAAGGATTGGGAGATGGATAAAATATACAGATCAATTAAACAATGTGCTTAAAATTAGGGAGTTAAAGGCAAGAAATTGACCGATGCTGGAAAGTGGAGAATTTCTCCCCAAAAGTGCGCAAAAAATATTGCGCCGTAAATTGCACCTTTTTAAGCTCACCTGAGCCGAAGGCTCAAGTGAGCTTTTCTGATCACATTTTGTCCGTCGTCCGTCTGTCCGTCTGTAAACTTTTCATATTTTTGACTTCTTCTTAAGAACCACAGGGCCAATTTTGACCAAACTTGGTACAAAGCATCCTTGGTTGAAGGGGAATTTAAATTGTTAAAATAAAGGGCCAAGTCCCATCACAAGGGGAGATAATCAAGAAAAGACAAAAATAGGGTGGGGTCATTAAAAAATCTTCTTCTCAAGAACCACTGGGTCAGAAAAGCTGAAACTTATGTGGAAGCATTCTAGGGTAGTGTAGATTCTAAATTCTTCAAATCATAATTCCCGGGGATTGGTGGGGCCACAATGAGGAATCAAAGTTTTACATAGAAATATATAGGAAAAATCCTTGAAAATTTTCTTCTCAAGAACCACTGGGCCAGAAAAGCTGAAACTTATGTGGAAGCATCCTGGTATAGTGTAGATTCTAAATTGTTCAAATCATGACCCCCGGGGGAAGGGCGGGGCCACAATGGGGAATCAAAGTTTTACATAGAAATATATAGGAAAAATCTGTGAAAATCTTCTTCACAAGAACCACTGGGCCAGAAAAGCTGAAACTTATGTGGAAGCATCCTGGGGTAGTGTAGATTCTAAATTGTAAAAACTATGACCCTGGGGGAAAGGGCGGGACCACAATGGGGAATCAAAATTTTACATAGAAATATATAGGAAAAATCTTTGAAAATCTTCTTTTCAAGAACCACTGGGACAGAAAAGCTGAAACTTTAAATACGTGGAAGCAACCTGGGGTAGTGCAGATTCTAAATTGTTCAAATCATGACCCCGGGGAAGGGCGAGGCCACAATTGGTAATCAAAATTTTACATGGAAATATACAGGAAAAATCTTTGAAAATCATCTTCTCAAGAACCACTGGGCCAAAAAAGCTGAAACTTATGTGCACAAGGAAGGATCCTGGGGTAGTGTAGATTTCAAAATGTCTAAATTATGATCAGTGGGGCAGGGTGGGGATGCATTATGTATTACAAGGGGGAAATCTGGTAAAGAACAGAATGGTCAAAGCTTCTCAGGTGAGCGATGTGGCCCATGGGCCTCTTGTTGCAATATGGGATCTGTGGCGTTGTGGTCAAAGACAAATATATAAAACCATAACGCTAGAGATCTGCAGCTACATGATAAGCAACTCTGAAGCACCTATGACTTTCCTTGACGTTCCAACTTTTTAAAGTTTTGTTTAGATTTTTACAGTTAAATCGTTTCTTCACAGGTCATCCTCATCCGAATAGTACAGGCAGTAGCTGAGTGACAGAGACTCTGTATCGCTGATACAGAGTCTCTGTCACTCAACTACTGCCTGTACTATTTCTACACACATACATAACTTGTTTGTGACATATATTTTTTTGATTTCTCCAAAATTTTTAAAGTTTAGTCAGGATTTTTCCTGAGTAAAATACAAAACTGAATCGTTATCCGCTGCTCCGTGACGTTCTAAAACGTCATCGTTTTTGTCGTTTTTTCTACCTATCTTCTCAAGTTGATTTCTTTTCAACAAAGCAAAATATAAAACCATAATTTGGTACACGAATCGATATATCAATTCTTAATTTGAATTTCTAGGTTGTTTTTCGTATTTGCTCCATTTTACAGAGAATATGACTACAAGCATTTAGAGCATTGTCTGTAACTTACTAAATTTTGACCTGCTCCGAGGTCCAATTTTTGCATTTTAAAATCTGGATAAGTTTTGAATAAATCGTATAATATTTTGAGAAAAAAATAATACAAATCATTTGGCGTTATTGTTAAAATATTTCTACCAAATTTGGATAACATATGACGTCAAATAAAAAAGATATGACAGTTGTTCACGAACTTTTTGAACAACCCTCGTAATATACCATTTTAAAGTATTCTAACTCTTAAGTTAATGTTACGGTTAATTTGGCGCTCGATTTTTACATGTAGATAGGGATTAACTATGAGACTTTTAAAAGAACTTACTTTCGTGTTAATTTGAAATTGACGTCCCTGCACGTTTGGTATTTTGTAAATGTGTCTTAGAAGTTCATAACATGACTAGCTAAATGGTTCAATATTCCTGATTTTTATCCATACATCAAAGGAATTTGATTCTCTGCGCACTCTTAAAATCAATTTTATCTGCAGTGAAACAATTTGAAACGTAAACTTAAGGTAAAATTGAGATATAAGCACATTTGGCAAAGCGTTGAGGATATCACAAAAGTAAATAAAAATACATAAATGAATAAATGAATAAATAAATAAATAAATAAATAAATAAATAAATAAATAAATAAATAAATAAATAAATAAATAAATAAATAAATGAATGAATGAATGAATGAATGAATGAATGAATGAATGAATGAATGAATGAATGAACGAACGAACGAACGAACGAACGAACGAATGCATGCATGCATGCATGCATGCATGGATGGATGGATGGATGAATACCGATAAGCCTTTTGGTCTAATACGATGTTACATATAAGATCGAATCAAAATTGAGTTTTAAAGCTTTAAATGAGATCTGTAGATGGGGTGTCAAAACTGCTTCAGTCAGGTACATAGCATCAGGGGGTTGAGCAAGGATGTTAATATTGCCCCCTCTTTTTTTAGACATGTTTTCTGTAGTAAATGTTTCATGAAAATCTGTTACACCTCCCCCTTCCCCCACTTTTGGTTGCAGTCAAATATATAAGGGTAATGGAGTGTTTGAGTTATTGAGTAAAAAAAAAAATTGTAGTCAAAGAAGTTGGAACCTACCCCCCCCCCCCCCCCCCTTTCCCATAAATAGGATTTTCGAGTGTTTGGACAATTTTCCTTTTTTTGTTTTGCTTGTCAAGCCTTTTCATGTAAGTTGAATATTTTTCTTCGGAATGCCCCCCCCCCCCTACTTTCAAGAACGATGAGCACTACGTTTACAAGCGATGCAGTGCCTCCCCTCCCCTTTAACAAGTTTCTAGATCCACCTATGATTCGTCACATGCCGCTTAGGATCTAGTCGACGCAAAATCCCTGACGCAGGTCATTTGATATTGAGGTGTACGTGTAGAATTTCTTGGGATAAGTGACCCGAACTGTCATTTCATACATATCATGTTTATTTAGAAAAGCGCAGGGAAACGGGAACAGATTGCAATGCGAGTTGTTTCCCCTCTCTATACCGTTGTCCGGAGTTGCGTGTTGAACGCTGTGACGAAATCACAACTGGAACGTGTACGGTTTGTGTCTACCAAAATGCCGAGCGTCTCACCCCCACCGCAGAGCTTGATGAAGCCCATGGATTTTCCCCACAAGCTGTTGATGGGTCCAGGCCCTTCCAATTGTCCACCACGTGTACTAAACGCGCAATCCTTTCCATTATTAGGGCACCTGCACCCCGAATTTACTCAGGTACAGAATTTGCAGGATACTAGTGAAACTCGTATACAATCGTAATACGGTTAATGTATAAATGTGAAAAATGTTGACTGATGTTGCATATATGTAATGGATGGCTAGTCACATAGAAATACCTGAATAAGGGTGTCTACATTAGATAGGTTTATAGGTCGATCAAAGAGGGGTCATCTCAAAATACTGTTATTGGCCAATAATTATGCACCAAAGCAAAGGGATAATGCATTTGTATATTTCAATTTTTTTAAATATAATTTTCTAATGCAGGAACAGTTGTTCATACCTCACATCTAAAATTGCATGTGCCATAAAACAGTAAGTCATTTCTTTGACTCGAGGTCATTTTATCAAGTTCATGGTTACATATTTAGAAAAATGTGTAATTCCTGTCCTGACCATATACATTGCGAGAAAAGATAAGAGGCTCATACTATACATTTATTGACTGAGTTTGAGGGCAAAATGCGTTTTGTTAGACCCAAGAACCAAACTGTTTGCCAGAGGCCGTTAGGCTGAAGGCAGAGAGTTTGGTTTGATTGAGGGTCGACAAAACATATTTTGCATGAGGGGATTTAACATTGTGAGCATTCTCAGAGTACCAATAGTTGAATATAATATTCTGAACTTTTTGTCACAGGTGCAGCTTTTTCTTTATATTATATAATTTTAGGGGATTCAAAATATACTTGATTTGTTCAAATGTGTTCCTTCAGATAATGGATGAAGTAAAAGCTGGCATTCAGTATGCATTCCAGACCAAAAATACATGGACTGTTTGTGTTTCAGGAACAGGTAGTTTACACCAATAGATTAAAACTCATTCATGATGAATATAGTTGTAATGGTTTTAAAGTAATAAATTTGGCGGGTACTTTAATTGTAAATTGTATTTGGTAGTATACAATTATTACTGATTTTGAGGTCAATACAATGATTTAGCCATTGCTGAGATGGCCAATATGCACCCAGCCCTAAATGCCTTTCTGTAACCATCTATTCTTCATAAGGATGTTCGCTATAAGCATGACTCACTGTAAGTAATTTAAAAACTATTTTAACCTTGATTTTAAGGCCATGCTGCTATGGAGGCGGCCTGTGCTAACCTTCTGGAGCCAGGGGAGACCGCTCTGATCTGTGAGAATGGACTCTGGGGTCAAAGGTTTGCAGACATGTGTACAAGAAATGGTGAGTGACAAAATGATGAGTGAAACACAGCAAATATGGATAGAGTTGATATAAGGAAATGGCAACAGTACTTGTCTGTTATCTTAATTAATCACAGTCTATGGAATTTCAGAATGTAGACTCTAATAAAATAATAAAATATTATTTATTATTTTGCATGTGGCTAATCAATCTCTTAGGCTAATTTTGATTTACTTAATACAAAAAATATATTAATAAAAATTTCTTGTTTATAACTATATAGGAGCTGTTGTTCAGAAAATAATCAAGCCAATGGGACAAGTATTCACACTCCAGGATGTAGAGGCTGTGAGTTAATTATCATGTTTACTAAACAATATGTCATGTATTTTGCATGTGTAGGCTCTAGTGAACAAATATACAGTACGTGGCTTCCACTTAATCAGATAGCGGTTAAACGAGTATTTCGGCTATTTCATTATAATATCAGAGCACAAAACCATTTCCTATATATATTTATTAATAATTTCACCTGATATTCTGATAAGAAAATATCAGAATTTCGTTTTATCTGATACAAAAATTTGGTCCATCATAGTATTTTTTGATAATTGTGACCTTGTTCACACCTCTAACTTCCCTAGTGAAGCCTTTGTTTACACTGTCTGACACTTGAGTAGATAATTAGGGGATTAGTTACGGCTGAACGCACGCAGTCACCTTACCTGTGTTAATAATTGGCACACTAAATTGACATGTTTAGATACAGTTATGATGATCAGTTTGGGTTTAAATTACTTTTAAGTGATGTACTCGATAATTATGATAATTTTTTGCAACTTTTTCTAAAGCTAGATTTTAATTATTGAACGTATTAGCTTGTGTATGACAATTTGCTGGGACATTGAAATGCATCATATTTACAGGACTATTGACTTGAGAATTGTCACAAACAGTATCAAATACATAACCATACTAAAGAAACAAATAAAACAAAACAATTTAATATTTTTGTTTAATATTAATGTACCATTTATCCGGGGAAAAAAATAAAGTACGGAATAAAGTCAAGCATTTAGTCTACTTCCGTTTCCAAAATGGCGGCCATCGAACATGTGCTGATTAAAGATGGCAATAACTATTAAAAACAATTTTTATAATTCATTTTATTGAAAAAATGTTATCATCTTAAATTGATGTCAGAGTAAGTTTAACATTTTATTTTAGGAGAATCGCCAGGTAAAGTAATCAAACGAAACGAAAGTGCAAGTTTGAAATTTGTTACAATGTATTGTCAATACATGTAGCTCTATACATCTTTGTATGGACTCGTAATGGAGCAAAACGGCTATTCCAATATTCGGCTATTCTGATATAAACAGAAGGCTGACAAAGTTACTATCGGATTAAGCGGGATCCACTGTATAAAGTGCACAACAAACATGGAGAGAGATGGATGTCTTTCTTCACTTTTATTTATCTTTCTTAAAATACTTAAAGTAATGTAGGATATGTCATTATGGATCAGACCACCTTAAGTACTTTGTAAACTTTGCTATGCATGGTTTGTCATTATGGATCAGACCACCTTAATTTACTTTGTAAACTTTGCTCTGCATGGTTTGTCATTATGGATCAGTTCACCTTAATTTACTTTGTAAGCTTTGCTCTGCAGGGTTTATCATTATGGATCAGACCACCTTAATTTACTTTGTAAACTTTGCTATGCATGGTTTGTCATTATGGATCAGTTCACCCTAATTTACTTTGTAAACTTTGCTCTGCATGGTTTGTTATTATGGATCAGACCACCTTGATTTACTTTGCTATGCATGGTTTGTCATTATGGATCATACCATCTTAATTTATTTTCCCCTGCAGGGTTTGTCATTATGGATCAGACCACCTTAATTTACTTTGTAAACTTTGCTCTGCAGGGTCTACAGCAACACAAGCCGGCATTAGTGTTTGTGACTCATGGTGAATCTTCAGGGTCAACACTCCAGCCCTTGGAGGGACTGGGGCAGCTCTGTCATAAGTAAATAAGTATTGACATACTTAACAGTATTCAGGTGTAACATTTAGCTCTTTTTGCAGACTGATCTTTTTTTTTCATATTCCATGTTCTCACAATAATTCACTTAGTCTTTATTATTAGCTAGATGAAATCTTAAGCTGAGCATTTTTGTCAGCTTCAACACATGTGGGCATGGTTCACAGTTCTAATTATTTATTAGGGTTGATGATGATATCAAGATTTATTTTACCTGAATATTTCTTTTTCAAAGTGTATGCCATTGCAAAAAAAAAAAAATATTCAACACTAACTGAGTTGACATTTCAAAGAAATATACTGGTATATATAATCTACATGTACTGGTATATGTGTTTCTGACCAATCAAAATAACCCTTCTTCCACAGATATAACAGCCTCCTATTGGTTGACTCAGTGGCAGCTTGTGGAGGGGTACCACTCTTTGTTGATGAGTGGGGTAAGGTCACATTCATACATCAATCAAAAACATACCAGTCATGTATATATAGTCTCATTTTGCTTAGTACCTTTAATTTATATTTTGTGAAATTGTGCATGTCATATTTTTATAAAGTACCTGTTCCTATTCAATGTCTGTCTGTGTATATTATCCAGCCTAACACTATTAATTTTCTTGCTCTCTGCAGAGATAGATGCTATCTACACCGGTGCTCAGAAAGTGATAAGTGCACCACCAGGAGTCAGTCCTGTGTCCTTCTCTGACCAGGCCAAGTGAGTAAAAATACGCTCAACGGGTCATAGTACGCGGTCAATAAAGCTTCAAATATTAAAACTTCGAATTATTGAGCTAGCTTTAAGGTTTATTATGAGTAAAATATCATAGGAAAGTAATCAAATATGATTATTATTTAAAAACTTATTTAAGCTATATTAAGATTTATTTATGTTTTGTAGGAGTAAAGCTCATAGTACCTGGTGAAGTAATTAAGTATAACTTTAGAGTTATTAAGGTAGTAGATTTGAGTTTGATTGATGTTTGTAGGAGTAAAGTATTAAACAGGAAGACACCGGTGAGGTCCTACTACTTTGACATGTCCCACCTGGCCAACTACTGGGGGTGTGACGAGGGACCGAGGAGGTAAGGATC